CTGGCCTGATTGCAATCCGGGCTCGGTATCGGTGCGCCTTCCATAGCAACCCAAGAAAAACATAGAACGCAGCAGCCTGAAGCTTGTGATTATGGATGGAGCCAATGAAGCCCGTGTTTCACATTTCTGATAGTCCCTTCACTGCAGAGTAGCAAAGTAGGTCGCTTGGAAAATTGCTAGTTGCTAGCATGCTGGAAGTGTGTATCGAAGCATGCCTATGGAGTCAGGCAATGGCATTGGTTGATCGCATTGGCCGGAAAAAGCTCCTGCTCTTCAGCGCGATCACCATGATGATCTGCAGTTGGGAGCTAAGCAGCTGTAGTAATGCTTGGCCGGCAGAAAAGGATGACGTAGCAGTGTTGTATTTCTGCGACTTGTAGCTCGTGGAGGACAAGTGTCCCAATGAACTCAGCTGATGCAGCTGTCAGGTGTGATCCTGGCTGCAGCTTCGGGCTTGGAAGTTTGCACTGACAGAACGGGCAAGAAAGGGCAATCTTGTCGTCGTTGAGGATCCTTAAGGCAGTCGAATCAGGGGCTCGCCTACATGAGCTATTGTGGATATTGGGTAGCTCGTGGAGTCCCCCATGGCATCTTCCTTAATCTATGCAACTTGCTACACTGAAGGCGGGCAGCTGCGTACAAGTTGATTTTCCAGATGCTTTCCGCTCAGATTTGTCATCCATATAAGGCATGATGAGGCAGGCAAGTTAAAGGGAGCATGTGGCCGAGGCATGGGATCCCAGCGAATGCGGTGAATTCGCAAAACTCCTGATTGCAGGCCATGCCAATTCTTGCCTTAAAGCTTGGAAACATGAGTTGAGTTGTCAACATGCCAGGAGCTGTTCTTGTGCACACTTTCGCCTATGCACTTGGTGGCGCCCCTGGCAGAGCTTGCTCCAGCATGAGCAAACAATGGATGAGCCTTGAAGGCTGGGGTCCCATCACTTGGATCTACTGCGCAGAGATTTTTCCGCTCAAGTGCACCAGTTGCTGTTGCATCCTCACGGCGCAGAAATGTCACAGAACTGCTCGAGAAACTAGGTACAAGTCAAAAGCAAGTGGTTTGGTCACCTGCGCGCACTGGGCCTGCTCCCCAATAGCTCCATCGCTTTTGCTTTTCGTTCATTTTGCAGCTATTCTTTGGAGATCGGTTGATCAGTCTGTTAGTGGCTGACATGTTGATCGGTCGATCTCAGGGGCTGTCAATCAGTTTGTTTGCAGGGGCTGTCAATCAGTTTGTTGGCAGGGTGTTGGCGATTGGTCAGTCTGCCGGTGGGTCAGCTGGCCTGCATGTGGCTAGGGTGGTGGGTTCTGGCTGAGTTAATGATAGGTCTGTAGCTGGCGGTTGATCGACCGGTCATGGATTGTGGGTGGGACGTAGCAAAGATCATCGGATTTGAGCTTTCCACGATCCTGATGCAGAGTATATGTACCCATGTACTGTCAAATGATATGGTAGTCTCCAGCAACTTTTGGAACAAACTTGTGCATTGCTTGTCTAAACCCTGTCAGGGCACTTCATCCAGATCCCTGGCTCTCATTTTGCTGTGGTCCCTTCTGGAGCTCAGTGGGGGCACTTCTGGGCCGGGTTGGTGCAACCATTGCTTGATTGCACTTGTGGTTGAGAAGCGTTCACAGACTTGTTTTTGATCTGACTTTTGTGCATGTGGGGATCTTTGATGGGGCCGTTTGGGGACATCAAGGGGCCAAGTTTGCCAGCTGATATTGCTGCTGCGTTGGAACTGGATTGGATTTCTTTGTCGGCGCATTTGGGCACACTGTGCTCCAACCCAGACGAGAACCGGGACCAAACCCTCTTGAATCCATGAATTGAACTCTCTGATGCAGGGAAAGATTTCTGAGCGTCAATTTGCCGTCGACAGTCTGACTTTCGTAAAGGGGTGTTGGCAAGGAGCGGATATCTAGAAGCTGGCAGATTGATGATAAGTGGGTTTGAGGATCGGTCCAATGGGAGGGCTTCCTGCCTGGAAGCCAGCGAATTTGTTTCCTAGAGGCCTTCAGTGGCCTGCTACCATTCAGTATGATTGATTTGGGTGCTGTGAGTGCAGGTAGTGAATGTGCCTTGGATTGTCCGGCCGATGAGGTTGTACAGAATTCATGTTTAGAAGGTTGTTCCAGGGACGAAGCCACTGCAAGCATTTGTGTGATTGGTATGAATGCTGCAGGTGGCCATAAACTTGCAATGGCAGCGCGGGCTAGCGCTTGGAAGGTGCACAGTGGTCCTTCCGTCCCCTGGTCCTCTGGTCATGCGGTCTGGTGGCTGGTCCTCTTGTCCGGTGGTCCTGTGGTCCCCTGATGATGGGTCCCGTGGTGCAGTGGTCCCCATCATCAGATTATCATACGTTTGCAAATCAGCGGACCTTTCCGCTTCTTTAAATTCCAGCCAAGTTTTGGTGTCAGGACCTTAGTTTGGTTCATGGGGGCCCGGCACTCATGAATGGAACCTCTTGCTTTGAGACCCTGCCCCTACAGCACACAACCTACTGTTTTCTCTGATGGATTGCTACCTCCCATCAGAGGGGCACGGCAAGAATCAATGATTGGGATGTATGATACAGAGCTCCAAGGTTGCTGGCTGCCATCAGGCGAGCAGCACAAGCGAACATGTAGAGTTTGCGTTCGTTGCCGAGATCAGCGATCAAGATGCAGACCTCAGATAAAAAATGCGTTGCTGAGTCTGAGGTGTACATTTTCTTGTACCGTGTTCCAAATTTTGCAAAGGAAGCTTTTGCACGGTGCAGGCATCAGCTCTTTAATTTCTCGCACCCTTAAGGCTTCTCATGCCAGCGAAGCTGCATGTCAATTGTTCGGTTTGCTTTGCTCGAGTCATCGAGCATGCTCCGCAAAGTGAAAGGGGGTGGCCTTCCCTCTAATTGTTTCTGCAGGCGTGGAGGACTTTATTTTGATGTTAACCGTTTCTTTTTCCCCCAGGATCCAGGATGCACGTGTCGTCTATTGTGATGGGAAACATTTTTTTTTGGGTTTTGGCAGTCATCAGGATATCCTACCTGCGAGCCTGGTCTCTTTCTGCAGGCCTTACGAGTCGCCGTCGTCACGCTTGTCGGCAGTTTGCGTGCCTACTGTAGTGAGGATCCCAAAAATTACGAATCTGATGTCGCAAACGTGGACAGCATGGCATCTCACGTGGTCAGCGGTGCTTGGACTGCAGCACAGTAGAACATGCGGGAGATTCTAGCTCATATGGTGTCTGTCAAAGTCCAGTTTCCCAAAGTGCATGGACACGTGCAATAGTAATCCCTTCGTATGTGATGGCCGAGCACGCCTGAATTTTGACCCAACTGAGCCCTGAAAGCGAGACAGCTGCCCAGATAGTTTGCATATAGAGCGCTTGAGGCTAGCTTGTTTGTCTTTCCCTCGCACGCTTTATCTTTTTAAGGATCCTCAAGATTGCTTGCACTTCTAAGGTCGGCTTCTATATAGTGGTACGGGCATCTGAGCTGCTGGTGCCTACGCTCGGGCTTGGCATGCCATTGACCTACTTTACTCTGGTGTATGGCTGGATGGATGCAAGTTCTTGCGACAAATCCCGCAGCATGTGCGGTGAAGGTTCTGGATATTTGCCCTGTTCAATGCAGTGGGCGCATTTGCCAGCTGCGTCCTTGGCCGTTGTGGCGCAACGTTGGCTTGGCATGTTCAATGGTGGCCAGGCATAATGATGCCAGAAACAAAGGGCAAGACCTTGGAGGCCGCGAGATATCAAGCTGTTGCTTACTGTGATACTGTTGGCCGTGTGTGGTTCGAGGAGATTCAGCTCATTTTCGACCCGTGGTTACGGGGGCAGGACTTGGCGAAGTCAAAGACGTACACTTGCCAGTGCCGAGGTGATTCTGAAGCCTGGGCTTCTTTGAATTTTGTCTCATCAAGTGGAGCGCGAGATTGTAGGCAGTCTTTGCAGGCTCCGGTATTGCTGTAGAGTTTGGCTGCATGTCGCTGTGGCGTGTCAGGACACTCCTCGCGAAGTTGCGCTATGTGGTGCGCAGGCAGTTTACAAGATATCTCCGTGCCATTTTGCAAGCATGTTGAGCACGCTGATTCACCAGGAAGACTCTGAGAATGACTTTGATGATGAGAAGCCTGGCCTCTTGTGAGCAATGAGCTCATTGTTTTGCTTGATTCTGCACTTCTAGAGATTGCAGCTGCAGTCTCGCTGGGCCTTCAAGGGCCCTGAATACAATTGAAGCAGTCTGGAGACAGGCAATGGCCAAGCTCTCTTTGTTGAGTGGATGGTCACTTGGGTCAGACCTTCAAGTTACAAAAAGCGCACGCCACTTTCAAAGTGCCTATCCTGTATCGTTTTACTCCTGTGGACTATGTGAGCAGACAACGCTGCAGATATTGCACGGTTTGCTGCAATCGCGTAGAATTCGTTTATGATTGTTTCGGCCGACGAAACAAGACCAGAGTTGAGCAGTTGTGGAGCTTGGATTCGCAGGATCTTTGCACTGAGGCTGGCAGTTTCGCTGAATTTCTGAGGGATCATTTCCTGGCCAGCCTGTAGAGAGCTCTCGCAGGGCGAGCAGCAGAGCCAGTTGTAGCGGGAGTCTCTCCAGCTGCGATCGTTTTTGCCATTTTCTCTCAAGCTTGGGTTGCACCTGCTGCAACCTGCCACAGGCTTCCAATCTTGAATCCCGTCATTATAACAGGGTCCTTTCACTCTGTACTATTCTGGAGGCTGGTTTTCCTTTCAGACATGGGGCCAGCGACACTGGCGTGGGTGAGTGCAGAAGTCGTGGACAAGGTGCTTCCTTGAGTTCTTCTGTTCATGGATGCGTGAGCTGGAATCTGCACAGATCGAGATCAAAACTGCGCTTGTATCAGTGTTCGACAAGTGCTTTGCTTGGCCGCACTAGATCTTGGCTGCACAGGGTGCCGCTCAGCCTCTTTGTAGAGCGCGAAAACGAAGCCTTTAAATCTTCTGGGGACCATGGACCATGTCTTTACAACAGTTTTCTGCGCAGGTACCGGGACTCCATCGATCATGCCACGAGGCCAGACATGGCCAGACCTGGCCTCGTAACCCCAGAAATTTTCAGAAATTTCAACATCGCTCAGCCATGCTCAGGCTGGGGGTGAAGTTCGTGGCGCAGCCCGGTGGCTTGGTGGCCGATGCAGAGGTCATTGAAGCCTGCAACACATACGGCATGGCTGGATACCTGGATATGCATAGTGTGTCACATTCTTGAGATGCCGTCACTTGTTGCTGTGCTCCAGTGTGCTGCAGGCTCTGGCCTTCACCAAGCTGAGACTCTTCCATCACTAGACGCTTTAGAATTCATGGCAACGTTTTCAGCTTGCTTCCCGGATGCCATGATGGCCACTGGGGTGAAAGCTGCAGCCAGAGCATGCAGACAGCTTCTTTGCTCTTGCCCATTGCAAGTTTGCAAGAAGTTTCCTGGTTCAGGAAATTCGTCTGTGCCTTTGGCTGTCTTCAGTTCCAAAAAATGGGTCGACAGTGGAGCTGAAGATCTCAACCCCATCGGATCAATTCTCATTTTAACTTTGCCGCGGACAATGCCTCTTGAGTCACACTATGCACGGTTGTGCACGGTAGGGAGGTAGAGAGGGTTTCAGAACCATCAGAAGTGTGACTTCGGCCGCAGTCTCTTTTGATGAGCTTTTAGATTTTGTGCTCGAACCATTTTGGACATGTGACAACGCAGGAGTCTGAAGTCGGGTGCACGATTGTTGCTCAAAATTGATGGTGAAGGCTGCTGGTGCTGTGAGTCCACGAAGCAAAGGGGCAATAGAGATTGAGCAAAACTTTGTACGGCGCTTTGCACGCTGCGCTCAGGCCTGGGAACATGAGAAACATCTACAAGAAGCAGTGCAGCAGCCCTCTTTAAGTAGCCGAAATTTTGCAGCCTCTCCTCAGCAACACGCGAAGCAAGGCCCTGATGGCTAACATGTAGATGCACAGCACACCACAGATGCGGTGCACCCTTGAGGACATACACCACAACCGTATCGTAGAACACCAGCAACCATTCAGCTGCCTACGTATGCTTCCAGGGCACTGGCGCCTTCCTGAACTGTGTACTGCGTATGTTTGCTGTCTCAGTGACAGAGACTTTCATTGAGCAGAGCACAGCTGCTGATAGCTGCTGTTCAGGGAAGTCCTTGGAATCTGCGTTTGTGGATGATTTGCTGTCACCGCGCAGTTGTCCGCCTCCGAGAGTCTCTGATCATCTTGCACATGGACATGTTTTCGGTATCAACTCGGGAACACGGCTTCAAACTTGCCAGGTTCCTCACGGTGCGGAAGTACACTACTATGAAAGGCTCCAGAGTGCCTGCAGTGGCTTCGAGCCGCGCATACGAGGTTCCAATTGCAGTGACGTCTTACTATGACCAGCAGAAGTTAACCGGGGCGGTTCCCGCTTCCGTCTGACTTGTTGGAGGATGCTGCAGAGCGTATTCTCGAACAGGCTCGTGCCCTAGCCCTGTGCATTCTGCTTCATGGCCCCTGATTTTTTTTGTTCGCAGGACTCATCAGCCGATGTAGCCATGGCGTGCTGCTTACGACTAGCCAAGAGTGTTTGCGACTCAGCGGTTCTAAAAACGATACGGCCTCAGGCTGGATTCCCTGCAAGCTGGCGAGAGGCGCAGCTGCAGCAACCTGGGATGTCCACTTTGCTTCTTGTTCATGTGGCTGTGTTCAGAGCTCTGGCTCTTAGGCGCGTCTGCTTAGCGCCAGTCTGCGACTGTGACCGCCTCCAGCTGGTCAAGGCCTGCAAGCGGGGCCCAGCTCTGAACCGTCTTAGCTTGCAGTGGGCCTTGCCTTTGTCCGAAGGACCAGAGCGGTATCTCTGTGTGCGTGCTGCAGACAAGCCCTGGCACCATCCCGGCCCTGCTCGTAGCGCGGTGCGCCTTCTCACACCCCGCGTCCATCAACCCTCACATTATGACTCACAGGTTGCGAACAAGCAACCTGGCACGGGAAGGACTACTGATGGTGTACATGTTGCAGTCTCCCACGGTCTGCACAGCATGGTATTCTATGTTCTCTGAGGACTTCGAGTGCTATTGGCGGCGAAAAAAGATGCACCCGAGGTATGGAGCTTGTCCTGTTTGAATGCATGTCTTCATGTGTAGCTCTGTAACGTTCTCTTCAATCGTCAAACCTTGACGAGGTACCAAAGGCACTCTCCCAGCACCAGTTCCAAGCCGAAGAGCGTGGCGCCTTGCACGGTCTGAGGCAGCTGGGCGGCGATTGGACTTCTGATTTTACCTTCATTTGTATTCAGTGTGTCATGGGTGTGATGCAGGTCTCAGACGGAGCTGAATGGCAGTCCGTGCAGCATAGTGAGATTTGACGAGGACGCATTTTCGCACCTCCTATTGCATGAAGGCCCCGAAGAAGTGTAGTGACCGGTTCCAACTGCTCAGCCTGGTGAAGTGTGAAGTGTGTGTATGTCGCTGGCGGTGACATGGTGTGAGGGGTGCTTGCTTGTTGTAGGAGGCAGCCGGTTGCTTTTGATGCAGGAGTCGCGTCGATGGCTTGTGCGACTGGACATCGAGTCCGAGGACAGCTGCAGAACTACCCTTGGTGGTGTTCAGCAAATTGCTTCGTCCTGCTCGCCTGGCATCTCCTTGCATTTGACTGAAAGTTACAAAACTTTCAGAGTGCACCTGAAAAGGGTGGAACACAGCAAGCCAGATTCCCCATGCTCGGCCGAGACCTGAATGTCCGATTGAGACTTGGTGCGACGAGCGCCACCCCTTTGTGTTAACATGTAACCAAATGGTGAACACGTATGGCCGGCATGTGAGGTCCTGTTTTCGGCAAGCAGAAAGGCAGCATGGCTCTTTGCTCCCCAATGTTTGTCAGGACAATGAGATTCTGGTCTCAGCTGTGAACCTCTTGCCCCTCTGGTTGCCAGAGAAGGCGGGGTCGTGTCGTTGGAGCTCTGCTTCCGCAAGCGGAACATTGCACTTCTTTTCAGGCAGGTCCTCTTCATGAAAATGCTGAAGCAGACGAAAATGGCGCTGCTGCAAAGCATGCTGATGCAGAGGCGGAGGTAGTCGAGGATGAGACCATGGACGACGGGAATCATTGTGAAGCTGAAAACCGAGACAACGAGGCTGCACCTAACGGGGCAAGGGAGGATTCCCTGGCGCAGACGCCTGGCGCCGATGGATCTCGAAGGAAGTCCCAAGCAGGCGAAGCAGCTGGCGAGGCTGGCGAGGCCCCGTTCTGCCAGACGTCTTCCTGAGCTAAAGGTGTTTGTTGTGTGGATTGAAAAGTCGCATGTGCAAAGGAAAGCTTAAAACGTCACACCGGCAAAAAGCTGTAAGCAGAACTTGTCGACTGTCCGGTATGTTTGTACCCAAGCCGACACATTGCGCAGGCCGGCCCCACTGCTGCTGCACCTGCTGCCAAGGCTTGACTACGATGAGCTGTTAAGTGGTCAAGATATAGAAGATAGGCATGTGACTCTCACAACAATGCTCATCTTTTCACTTAAAGAGTCTTCTTGCGGCTTTCCACTTGTGGCCTCAGCCTGATCAGGGGCATTCTTGCGTTATGTACTAAACATGCTGCCATGCAGGCAGAAGCCAGGGGAAGAGTGAAGATGTCACATGTCTTTGGCTCAGGTGTTTCTTGCCATATTTCACATGCTTGCAGCTGGCGGATGTTGCGGGAAATTGTAAGTGGTCAGGCCCTGGTTGTTACCGGATTTCCGTTGTGGGATCTGCAGCAGATCACCCAGTGCGCCAGTGGAGGGCTTCTGAGGTGATGACGCCTATTTTTGAGCTGGTTTATTTGGCCTTCGGCAGCTGAAGACCCGCAGGTACTTCGCTCGCTTTGGTGAATTGCGTACCATACTGGGCGCAACCAAAAACAAGAACGGAAAGAGGTTGGGACCGCTCGGGTGTATCTAAGTGCACATTCTTGCTAGGCATTGGGAAAGTGGCTCAATGATTTGCTAGCAACTCGCGGGCCCTGGGCACACGCAACCTGCTCCGGGTTTTGCCAGGAAACTGCTGGTGGCATATTGCCGAAAAGTTAATGCAAAGAGAAGCCAGGCGCATGTCCATGGAGCCGAGGCTCGACCATTCCCAAAGGCTTTGCATAGCAGACTTGCGCAATGAATCCACAAGCCCAGGGATTTTTGAGACGGGTTTGTGAGATGGAGCTTGTTTGTGCTGGATACTCGCAGATTGATGGGCACAAGCTCAGCGCAGTATTTGCAGCCGGAGTCTCAGATTCTGAGGTAGCCTTGGCCAGATCAGATGAAGGGAGTGTCTGCAGTGTAGAAATTCTCGAGATGTCAATAATGGAAGTTGTAATCCCAGGACGATCCCGCCAACAAGCAGGCTGGCATCCTGTCCAAGACGTCAATTTTTACCACGATCGCGGGATCGCCTCGGCATTCCAAACCCACCCCATCACCCTCCCCCAACCTGGTTCCCGCTGACCTTGCCCCGTTCCCCGCTGCCCCCCTAAGAAACTCAGACCCACAGGAGCCCACGGCCAGCCAAACCCCCTGCCCCCCGCAAAAACGACAAAAACAAGCCGATCCCCGACCCAGTTTTTCTTGGGCTGCTGGGGGGGTAGGGGGGATTAACTTACTCCCCTATTCTCCAAACCTGGATCTCAATGCCCCAGGCCTCCGGCCTCGGCAGAGAGAGATACCGGTTGGACAACGGCCTTAGTCACTCAAGTTTGCTGTCTTTATCGGCGTCTTTCCCCAAGAATCCGGCCTGCTTGGAGCATCGAGGGGTTTTTGATCCGACTGCGTGGCCCCTACAGGGGCTGGGCATTGAAGCCCGGAGTGGCACTTGCCACTTCACAGCCCGAACGAAAGAAAGAACAAAAAGAGATACCTGCTTGGGGCGTTGCCCCAGCCCCGATTTAGAGGGGGTATAGGTATAGCAGCGAGAAGAAGAAGAATTTATACATATACATATACACACACATATATATATTCATATATATACATATATGTATACTTATGTATATATATATATACACATGTGTATATATATATATATGTATATATACATATATATATATATGTATACACCCGTGTGGAAGGAAGCCAAAGCTGCGGCGAGGCCAAAGAACAACTCTTAGGAGGGCCAAGCGTGCTTCGTCAGAGCAAAAAGCATGGCTGTTGAAACCTTCCATGACATCAGCAGGCTCTTTGTCTTGAGTTGCTTGCCTGTTCACACGGCTGGCGGCTGGACATTATGCAGGGCCGGCGTTTTGCAAGCTCGAGAACGGCTTTCGTGGCCTTTCGATAAGGTCGTAGCACGATCAGCATCCCACACCGAATTCGAACATGCCTTGGAGTCATTTAGTTTGCATGTGTCTTCTCAGGCAGCAAGAAAGTAGCATCAATACTGAGGGCCTGGCAGCCATCAAGCCTGCAGCACTTTGTAAGTTGCAGGGATCGAACCTCCACAGCGGCTGCCAAAGAACTGCAGCCATGGCGCAACTGCACGGTGTTGCCCTTATTCGGTGCTGCTTCAACCGCGCCTGTTGCATACTCTCTACTAGATGTGTGGCCTGTGGATCAAATCACACATGTTATGGAGGCATTCTTCCTTTTGCAATTTTCCTCAACCTGAAGGCACTTGCAGGATTTGAGATTTCCTCACTGCCGCCTGGTCATTGGTGTGTTAATTTGGTAGGGTCTGATTGCAGCCGGGCTTGACAAGCCATGTCCTTTCCTCAGCTTGCTCAGCTTGGGTGCATCTCGCAGCAAGGGGAGGCAGCATATCTTGCAATGCAAAGTCAGTCGTCATCTCGCTTCTGCTCCCAGGCCCGTCGGGCTATGTACAGGTTGCACCAGTGAGCTTCGACTGTGCCAGGCCTTGCCCATGTGATAAGCTCCTTACTGTCCATACTTGACTGTCCATCTGATTCAGCAGTCCTTGTTTCGCCTGACTCCTTTGCTGGCGTGGCGCCTGATCAAGGAATATGCTGGCAGGTCTGGGTCGTACCGCGAAGCCAGATACCTGGCTCCTGCAGGCAAGACGAGTACAGCCAGATTCTCAGGCAGACTGTTTGGTCACATTTGCATATGATATGTGTGCAGTGGTGTTAGTGTGCCGGGCTCAGGTCTTTCTGCTGCCAGAGGGCGTTACGGACTTCGAGGTACGAAGTCTAAAGCAGTACATTGTGTTTACTACCATCTTGCCCTTCTGCGCTTTGTGCGTCTGGCTCTCAGGTTTCATTTCGGCCTGACGTTCCTGGCAGCAAAGTGGACGCTCGCCTCCAACAACCGAACAACTGTTTTAAGGGCTCCTTTTTTGAATTTTCTTGCAAGAGTACCCTGTGAATTTGCTTCAGGATTGGCTTGTCAACCATGGTCAAAAGCAAATTGTTGGGCAGAGACCTCAGAACACAAAATCACATCCTTTGCAGATCAAGGAGGGGAGGCAAAGCGTGCATGCGTGGTTGGGGTTGAGACGGAAGCGTTCTGAAGCAGAACCCTTCCACCTGACAGGCAAATAGATTCCTTCTGCGTACTGTGGCCAAGGCCGACTGCACGTGTGGTGGATGACCAGAGGACGCCTAGAAATGTTGGTTGGATTTGCTGTGCAGAAGCATGCTTCAGAGTCGTTTTGACGTTGAGGACGTATGGAAGTGATGAGGCTGGGGATAGCAAACGTAGATCCGAAGCTTTCCACACCAGGCAAAGAGTTCGGTCACCTTTCTGAAGTGCAGGGCTTGCAGATCACTTACTCGGGAAGCAAGGCAATGCACGGGTCTTCTGCCAAGATGTGCTCACTGTCTTGCCATCTGGAGCTTTATGACGGGCTGTTTTCCTGCTTCTTTCCAACCAACTGCACCAGGAAAGTCGTTGCAATGCTTGCATCGTTTCATGTGTAGGCACAGCCAGAACGAGTGGCCTTCAAAGGGAAAACTTTGACACCTTTGACTTTTGAGGCGCTGCTTTCACAGATTCGTGGCTCTCCTATTGTTGTTCAGCTCTTTGCCCGTTCAGGTTCAGAATTCTGATGTCTATCCGCAGCTTCTGCATCTTACGCATCTTCCTTAGCACTCGTCTTGACATAAGTTGCAAGATTTCTGAATCAGATGTTTGAATCTTGATCAAGGTATCGCTATGCTCAGGCCCAGCCATCCTCATGTAGGCAAGTGGCATGTGTGTGGCGTCTCGCTGCAGGTCGAGGATTGCAGCGGGGCAAGACTTGCTTCTTGCAAGCAGCTTTGCCGCAATTGCTGGCAGCAAGATGCTACAACAGATATTGCCGGGCAGAATACGATCATTCTTTGCCGAAACATCCTGAGGCAATTCAATACTTTCGCGGTGCAGCGGGCAATAGTCAACTGGAGTTTCTGGCTGCAGGACTGATCTTCCTTGCATGGATCTGTGATCTTCATGCTCTACTTGAGTGTGTTTGTGTATTGCCTTCTGAGGACAGCTACAAGGGCAATGCTGAGGCTGCGTGGAAGGACTTGCTGACATTTCATTGTACATGAGGCATGTTGGGCTTACTGGGCACAAAGCCACATAAACATTGTGCCTGAAGTAGACTCAGGGGCTAACGTCCCGTGTGTCTGCTTCCATTTATTTGGATCAACAACCTTCAGGCTGCAATGCATGCGGGGCACGACAGCAGGGTAGACCCCTGCCCACCACCCCAGTCTCCAATGTTTGGGAGGAATGGACCACCAGCTGCTGCAAGGCTTTGGTAAAGCTTTCCCTGCCCGCACCCGCCAGGAGTTTGACATGCTAACAGTAGAAATAGCTCCAGCCATGGAGAACCGAACAAGCAGAAATGCTGTAGCAGCACCAGCAACGCATTAGACATGGTACTAGGCAGTACGTGTCCGATGAGGAATGATAGATGGTGGTGGTGGTGGTGGTGGTGGTGGTGGTGGTGGTGGTGGTGGTGGTGGTGGTGGTGGTGGTGGTGGTGGTAGTAGTAGTAGTAGTAGTAAGCACCACGGCTCGAAT